TGAGGACGAACAGAACTGAGCAAACTTCTGGAGCAGTGCTCGCACTGGAAGGGTGAGGGCAGTGCAGCTGGGCAGCCACATCCCCATCTCACCCTGCCTCACCTGCAGCTGCCTTTGCTGTGCCTTATCTAGTCTTGTGAGCATGTTATCCTGGCCATTTCATTTCATATTTCCTAGAGATACTCTAATAGCATTTTCTTCTTTCAGAAGCAGTTTTGATGCATTATTTTGTGCAAACCTTAAGAGCTCTGCAGAAACTAGCCTTGTGTCACTATGCTCATGACGTTCACTGGGCATCTTTGTTATGCAAATACAGCTGTAGGACTGATTTCCTCTGTTTAGCAATGGAGCAAGATGACTCCTTCAAATTCGGAGTCATGTAGAACTATACATAATATAAAAACAGAATAAGTCAGCAATTATTTTGCTGATAAAAAATTGTTTCCTTTAAATGACAGCCATGGAGAATCAGCTGTGGTGACATGAATCTTCAAACTGGTTTTCCAGCAGAAAGCAGGTCTTCATTCAAAAGCTTGTCCTTAAATAAAGGTAAAGGTCCCAATTTTCAGCTTTGCTGTACCTTCCAAAAAAAGTCCCCCGGCCTTTGGAATCCACAGCTTACTGGCATAGTTTCCTAGGAGATTGCTATAGCATTGGCAGTCTACTGCTTCTGGAGATTTGGTTGTGAGATAAAGATTCTAGGAGATCTGGAGATCCCTGGAAATGTCAGAGCTTCAAGCACTGAGAACCTGATTTGGGGTAAGGGCTCTGGCATTTGCACTCTTTTGTGAAGTTCGAAGTCTACTTCTGAACAATCTTGTCCTACAGAGAGGAAATTCTCGTTGATAACTTGTTAGTGGTAACTTGGGTAATTCAAACCCCATCTGACCACTCAAGACTGCAGCACCAGTGAAGCACTGTAAGTGGAGCTGACTCTTCCCAGAGAAGCCGGTATATTCACAGAGCACTGCACAGGGCTGCTACCTTGGGTTCAGGAAGCCAGACTAACCTAACTAGACAGATTACTGCTTTGCCAGAGATAATAAATTCTGCTTTCACAGAAGGAGCAATGTTGAGGTGCCACAACTAACTCTGTGTCTGGGTGAAGTGGTTTCTTTGAATGAGGGTCAAACCATTACCTGCCTGCTCTCTCTTGGACAAGCTGCATTGGCTTATGCAAGTTTTCTGTGTTGGGATCTGTGCGTTTGAAAGGTTCCTCAAGGCTTTGCTAATCCAGGCCAACACTCAGCATGTCTGCAACAGGTACTGAGAAGGGCTCATAGAGGGAACCCTCAAGGCATCAAAACACAAGCTACGTTCTTCTTAAGCCCTTGACTCTTCTTATTTTGACTGCAAAGTAAGGAACCAAGGTACTGTTACAGTTCTCTGCTTTGCACTGTTTTGTAACATCTACACCTACACTGAGAAAATCTACTGTCACTAGGGGTTTCATGCCATTAAAAGTTACCTTCTCCCTTTAATGCTACTAGGGGAAAACTGGGAAAGGATTCTTCTTTAAGTTTCTAATTAGGAGCTGCCAAGACTTAATCATTTATCATATTCATTACAGAGCAGAGGTGTCATATCTGAACTGTGCATATCTCGCTTTAACTGATTACCTCAGATTTATGAAGTTTGGTTTGGGCTTAATGATGAAATTTTTGTAATGTGTTTTACTCTTAAATTAAAGTCATGTATAGAATATCCATCATGATGTCCTCTTCCCCAGGTAATACATATGAAACGAGAACTCTGGTTAGTGAGTACCTCATCTGGCAGGATTTCAGTGAATAATTGTCCTAGCTAACTAAGATGAAGCAATGCAAACAGAAAAAATGATCTTAATAATTCATCTGCAATTGCTTTTGTGAAGAGAGACACAAATAATAAATATAAAAAGTAGATATAAAGATAAAAAGTAGATGACCCCCATCCCCCACTCTACAATTAAAACAAATATACAGATATGAATATGGAAAAAGATATAACTTATTCAGAAAGTACCCTGTTTAAATTTGTTTCCGTGGAGGATTTTGTTCAATGGTAGTTTATCTTCCAGTTTGAAGATAATAAAATAATAAAAAATTCAACTAGCTGTTGCCAGGGGCTTTATTATTTTATCTTAATTTGGAGAAATCTGATTCTGACACATTAACACTTTTCTTCAAGCAAGAGAAAGCAGAGACTAGATCTGTAATTAGAACAGTTTTCCTGCAACTGATCCATGACACTACTTTAAAACCACACACACAAAAAAGAAACAAAAGAAGAAATTTACTCCAAGTCATTTACTCTTTCATTTCAAGGAGGACTAAAATTTTGTCTTTACAGTAACTTAGTAAGGTATTATTAGTATTCAATATCAGTCACAATGCTATAGTTCATTCAGTAGGTATTTCTCAGTTTCCTGGTTAACATAAAGATCTCAAACAACCTCTGATTTTACTTAAAAAAACAATCAGCCCTTTTGCATGTCATTTGCCTTTGAGCAGTTAAGAAGCTTATAGAAGTAAAATTACAGTACTTGCTCAAAAATCTAATCTCCACTGGGCTCATTTGCCACCAGCCTCTCCCCAGCCTGAAGCAATATTTTCAAAGATTCATTTTTCCCTTGGTCAATATTTCACTCTCTGTCAATTTCAGTTCTTATACCAATAAATCAAAACCACTTATTTCTTGAGATATTGAAAAAGCAAGAAGCTAAATGGGAATGCTTCATTTCTTGTGTAAAGAAAGAATACTGGATTTGTGTAAGGGAGAGAGACAGAAAATGAGACTGCTTGTGACCATGAAAAACAAAACGGTCAGGAGCTGGTACATCAAGTCCTGTGAGTTCTTAGCACAGAGCAGGAACAACAGCATTCAGTACCCACCTGCACAGCAGGACCTGGAGCAACTCCTGCTCTGCATTCAGTAGCTTAAAAATTTGTAACTGCAGGAGCTACTTAGTGGACAGCCATCAGCTTCAGAGACCTTCTTCTATTTGCCACGTTCAAGCTCTCTTCTAGGTCATAGACACATAATTTCACTGGGACAAATTCATTTACCCTCCAGAAAATCTTTTGGAATGGTCCCTTTTTGCAGCACCTTTAATCACACTGTGGTCTGATCTAGATAGTGGGAGAAATGCCATCCACACAGGTTTGACTCAACTGGTTCGACTGTGCAGGGTAACCACCATTATCCATGGCTATATGCGTATGAGTAGCGTAATGATGTGTGTCAGTTTGATACAATTTAGAGTGGGTGAAAAAGTCTGCTGATATACTCAACATATCCATCTGCAGCAGTTCTTTCAAACTGGACCTATACAGCTCGTACTTTAACTGCACCAGTATACACAACACTTCTGACAGGACCAGCAGTTACCACAGATACATATCAATATAAATGAAAGAAAAGTCTGACTCCAAATGAAAAATTAGAACATCAGAGAGGGTATACGGAGCTCCCCAGGAGCTGTGTCTTGGTGTGCATCATTCTAGTTGTAATGCCTAAATAAAATTGGCCTGTGCCCTGTTCACAGATCATGACAGATTCAGAAAGGCTGGTGAGGCAGACATTATGCATACTTCAGGTTTGGGATTTTTTTTTTGTCTGTTTGGGTTCAAAATATTTTGTTCTAGGGCTAATCTCTGAAAGCTTTATAGCTCTGTTTGTAGGGATTTGCCTTAATATATTTACCTGAGAGGCAAGGTTTGGTAGCAGAAAACCAATTATTCACTAACAGATCTGACAAGTCCCAGGACAAAATCTACCTCTTGTCATCCCAACCTGGGTTCCAAAAGATGCCAAACAGAGTCCTAGAAATTCCTGGAGCAGTGAATGGGTGGAGGTTGGCCAAGTCACGAAGGAAAGCTTTATCTATCTCCATATTACTCTTTGCTCCTCCCTGAGTGTCTGCTCCCTGGTAACTTCCAAGCCAGATAGATGTCTACTCTGACCTAGTGTAGTTGCTCATACATTATTATACAATGTAAGCAGAAATGTCATGCAACCCTCCACGCTTGACTGTAGACATACTCTTCTATGCAGAGTATTATTTCCTGACATAACGAAACAGGGTAGAGTACCAGTTCTTTCCAGTTTGACTTTTTAATATCTCTTTTAAATTATTCATGATTCACAGATGCACCAAAAACTTGCAACAAAGGACCCCCATCCCCCACTCACAAACACAGGAAACCAGAGTGCATCAGCAGAAATACATGCTTGGAGTGAAAACTCAGTTCCATCAAGTGTTATTCACCTGAATGTGGACAAGATTTCACATTTCTCTCTGTATTGTTCTGATGGTGCTTTTATCCAGACTAAACATTCATGAATACACTTTGAAACACAGTCATTAGTTCTCATCAAATTCAATGAGAATAGTAAATGAATTTAAAAGCAAGTTCACTGCAGCCACTCTTTACCCTGCCTTCACCCTCTGCCTCATGGTGGCTGAATCACTAAAGAGATGACTCAGGATATTTTTCTTCTCAAGACCAAAATTGCAGCAGAACCATTTTTGCTGACATATAATCATAAGATTCTAGACACCAGGAGAGCTCTTTAGTCCCAGACTAGACACAATATTTTGCTTAAAGTTTTAAGTAGAGTTTTCAATCAATAACTTTTCATTCTGTTCTTGTTTGTTTTGGTTTTTTTATTTTTTTTAATATAAAAAGGAACCAGACATATCTACGCTTTACTCCAGCAGTAACTGAAGGAAAAAATAACATCTGTCATTACATATGCTCAATGCTACAACTACTTCATTTAAAATAACAGCAGTGTCAAAAAAGACAAAAAAGTCTTATATTTAAGTACATTTTTAAGCTCTCCTTTTGCAATTACTCCAGGCTCTGTAATACACAACATTCAGAGTAATTTGAATATAATTGAAACCTTCTTTTTTATATGGTGTATGTTATGGAATTCTGAGTCTCTGTAGGTGAGCAGACACCATGTGCCACCTACTTTACTATTTTGTTTCAAAGATTTGACTTATTGAGAAGTAAGCTTATTGCAAATAAAATGGCTTTCCCTTCTCAGCATTTGGCAGGCATGCAGAAATGCAACAGAAGAGCACAGTACCTAGAGACACTTGTTTCTCAGAACTGTGTTCAGAAAGAATAGAAAGCATATAAATTCAAAATAAACCATCTGTGACAACCCCTAAGCAGTGCCTCATTTCAGAAAGTCCAAGCCTGGGAATGAAAGTAACTGTACGTAACTGTCAATTAAAATAATCTAATATAGACTTTTCTGCTTTTTGGGGGAGGATGGACACAGATTTTCTGGAAGCCCACTCTTTTTCATTTCCTTAGCCTGTATTTTACAGTTCAGGAGAATGGTAATCACATCTGCAGCCAACATATATTACAAACCTCATGGGATAAAAGATGATGGAAGAGGCAGTATTATTGTGCATCACCTCTCAGCAGTTCATATCCACAACTGGTATATGCAAACATAACTTCACATCAAAATTAATTCTAAAACAATTTCTAAGAGGAGGGTGACTTCATATTAGAAAAAAAGGTATTCACAATTCCCATTTGGGAAATCTAAAATACTATATCTTGGACAGTTATATTCAGAAATGAAAACCAGAGAGTTTCTGACAGTTTACTCAGATCAGAAGTAAACAGAGCAGTGGCAGTCTGGCCAAAGTAAGTAGAAACATATGGAAATTCCTGCTTGCCTAAGCACTATATATATACTCTGCATTGGCTGGCTACACCTTTGGATTTACAGGATTTAAATCAGATCAGAATTTGGTCCTCAGAGTATTCAACAAGCAGTTGTGGGAAAGGGTCCAGAAGAATTCAGTCAGTAACCATGAAGACTCTGTCATTTTAGAAGATATAAGTTGCAGACTGAAAAAATATGTATTGTTAGGTAGTAAAATTACAGTTTTATTTCTTATTGAATTTGGAGCCTCACTGCAAGCTGCAGAAAATACTCAGCTAATATAACATTGCTTATATTTACCAAATCTGGAAAATATCCCCAGGACAGCAGTTATCAATCCTGACAGGGTAGTTTCCAATAGGCACTGAGCTACGGTTGTATATGTGTGAATACCAAGTGTGTTTCAAGGCCTTCCATTTTATTGCTGCTATTTAGTAAGCCATTTTGTCAACTGAATGAGTATATGGTTATTTAAAAATGCATAAACATGAAAGGTATTTTAAATGCTGTTTTATCAACATTCAGGTATTAATTTACAGTTAAAACAATCAAGACAATACAGCAGCAGTTCAAGCTCTGCTTGCCTTGGATACACAGAGAGTTCCATCACAATCAAAGTCTGGTTGCAAGATTGAACCTCTGCAGTGAGAAATCATTGAATGCCTTTTGAGCAAATCATGGACTTGCAACGAAACCGATCTGCTTACAAAGAGCTACCCCAGGGCACAGCTGTGGCCATGTTACCCGCTCTGAGATCTCAACTGTTACTCTTTCTTTCAGGTATTCCTTTCAAGATGAAGAAGACATGTTCATGGTGGTTGATCTCTTACTTGGAGGTGATCTGCGTTACCATTTGCAGCAGAACGTCCACTTTAATGAAGGAACTGTTAAGCTGTACATTTGTGAGCTGGCGCTTTCCCTGGATTATTTGCAGAGATATCATATAATTCACAGGTGAGTGAATTTCATTTGAGGGATGGGCTGCTTTTTTTTTGTCAGACCAGAGGAGTTTTGTCACATACTTGATTACACGACTCTATTCAAAACTTCTGAAAAGTTTTCCTTGTTAACCAAGGGTGGAATTTGGTTCTGAAAAGGTTTTTTTAAGTGTTTTATTTCTGTCCTTTGGAATTCAGTAACCCCATATCCTTCTCACACTACCCTTTATTTGTTTTTATCTCGTACTATGCTGCATGTTTTTTACTATGGTATTTAAACACTAAATGGAACCCATAAGAGCTTTTAAATTATTTTTAGTTCCCCAGTGCCCCAGTGTTCCTAAACTCAAAAATGTTGTAATCCAGTACAACAACTTCACACAACATCAAGGAAAGGTCACAAAACCAAAGGCTGAGAATAAAGAATAACTTGTTCAATTGCAGATTCTGCATGAAGGTCAAAAGGAGGAAGAGAGGTGGGGAAATAAGAGAAATGGTTAAAATAAATCGGAGCAGTGATAAATGGTGCATCCTTTTTTGTATTTCTTAGATTACAACTATCTGTTCTTTTTACCGCCTTACAGTGGGCAATCATAGCATAGATGTCAAAAGAGGTGTCAAGCATCAGGATCTGCTTGTTTTCCTTAAACAATTTAACTGCAGCAGTGGGATGAGTTCTCTTTTTATATTTACGCAACAACTGTGAAATTATAAAATTACGGGCTTGAGCCTCTATTTTATTCTTTTTAGGCTAAATTCAAGATATTCCTCCATAGTTTATAGTGGTCTGAACAAAAAAAAAAAAATTAGTTTTGCGTGCTACTAAAGCTGGATGTGAGTTTCAGAGACCAAACTAAACTGAGCTGTGCCATAGATACTCCAGCAACCAGTATAAATAAATTCCTCCAAATATATTGAGGGTTTTCATCCCATCCACCTATCAGAGTTGCCTCATGATTTTCAGTTAAAGAAACCAATAAAATTATGATCTGGCTTTCCAAAGAGAGACGGTCCATATGGAATCTCGCTGGTCTGAGGTGCAGTTGTAGATGGGTGTTCTGTACTACTGAAACTGTGCAAGACAAAATTCAAGTAAAGTTTACAACAGTTGTTTTCCTTGCAATTAAAACAAAAGTTGCAAGCAAATTCTGAAATTTTGTATCTTTAGCACACTGATATTATTTTAGTACATTTCCATGTGTTTTGAATGCATTTTTCTTTCTCAGTGAATATTTTAGAAGTGGAGCTCAGAATTTCATCTGACCTTTGTTTCTACACCTTAAGGAATGTTCTTGGTGAAAAACAAATTGATGAGCATTTTTCTCACCCTTATTTTAAAAACCAGACATTTTATGCAAATAGGCTGTCAAAACATTCATGAGAGAACCCTGTTTGTAATCAAAACTTGTATTTTGCTACAAGCTTGCGACTTAAAAGTGTTTCACAGAAAAGCCTGTAAGAGGTGGCAGATGTCTTGGGAGAATGAAGGACTGCACTGAAGTAATTATGGTGGTTAATAGTTTTTTGTGACAGCGTCTGCATTGCCATGGTCCAGCTGTGAAACTGGGCAAGACACTTTGTTCTCTTTTGTATTACTTAATCATTACTAGTAAGCATTTTATTTTACTTAATTTTCTCTTCTGCACCAGTTGAAGTATAGAGTAACACCACAGACTTCAACACTTGTTGATTTGCACCAAGGCAGGGGAAGGTGTGGGAATTTGGAGCTCATTGTTGGCTCCATTTGGAGGCATGTTCTGGGGTTTAGTTTTTACTTTCACCCTAAATTGAAAGTTTTCACAAAATTAGACATGTCAAAATATCTCTTTCTTAGCCTGTGGCGTGTCTCACTAGCTGATTAGCTAGGATTATTGTTTAGGATGCAAAGAATCTGGTTGAGGACTCCGCTGTGCTATAGAAGAGATTTTGAAGCTGCCAGACCTGAGATCTGAATGTGGCTCTCCCACTTCACCACTTACTGCCCAAATCACCGAACAGTGGCACAATGAGGTTTTCGTCTCTCATCTTCCCACCAATTACCATAAAATCCCAAATGATCCACATGCCAGTGAACATGTTCTTTATCCCAGAGAGTCCCAGCACGTTCTGTCTTCTGCCTTGCCACCACCTGGAACAGCACTCTGTGGGATGGGCCTTCAGTGGCCATAATTCTCTGTAGTATGGCTGGCATCAAGAGCACAATGCTGATTTAAATTGGATCAGGAGCCAAGCCAGCAGTGATGCACAGTGAGGAGATGTGTAGCCATTAGTTTACCATTGCAAACACACCGTCTTTGTCAGAGATTAAACCGATGAGCTGGTTGATGTCTATACATTGTGGTAGCAGACCTCAGCAATATCATTGTGACCAAGTCTTTCCAGTCAGCATTCATGCTAACCTACAAAACCGTATTAGATCTTTCACTTTTAAATGAATGCATTGGCAGCAAAAGATAAAAAAACAGGTTAGTGAGTCACAGAGTCATTGAGAGAGCCCCTTACTAAATTTTGTGTGTGCTGCAAAGAAAGAATAGTTGAATGATTCATCTGACTGGGTAGGTGGATTTTCAAATTGCAGTTTTATAAAGAGCTGAATATATGAAGTGTGAGTCAGGAACTTAACTCCTCAATATTTACAGATGTGTACGAAATGTGTTCAGGTTTCTGTTACTATTGCATCCGGCAATAGGACAGACCGTTTGTTTTTTTTTAAGATTAACCTGCAGCCCAGGAGTCTGCTATAAAAGGAAGTGGTAATGAAGGGGACTGGAATTATCAGGCATGTATGAATGGATTAGAATTGTCCAGATCAGTGGTATGCCAGTTCCCCTTGGAAATGTCTTGCAATTCCTCTGTGTTTGCTGATGTGGTTAGTGCTGTGTACTTTAAATGTGGCAATCATTTCAGCAGTAGAAGTATTGTTTCTGCAGGGACAACTTTAACCATCAATAGTGTAAAAACCACTACGGTTCTGGTGTGTTTTTGAAACTTGTCATTTTTATTAATCACATCCATGTATATAAATCCATATTTGTTACGAACAATCCTGCAATAGTGGATTTCTTTACTGTGGGACAATAAGGAAAGCTGCACTCTGTGTCTCATTTGCAGTTCTATTGTAAACGTTTGCATTTACGTAAATGTTCAGACAGAATTATAAAAACTTTAAAAAGAAAAACTGTAAGTTTCAAGCTGTGATCTGAAGAATACTCTGGACAATTTTTTTACTCAGCGTACACAACAGCTAACTTATTACTGAGATCTCTCTGAATTGTTGGGCACAGGTAATGACTACATCACAAGACCTTATTTCCTCACAGCCCTGTTGTAATAATATTTTATCTACATTTCCTAAAAAAAAAAAAAAAAAAAAAAATCCTTTAAAAGTTGGATGGGTGGTGTCTATTAGAGACCTGTGGATCCAGTACACACAGCCAGGCTTCTGACAATTCACATGGTCTCATTCTTTCTCAAATGTTGGATCGAATCCAGCATTCTGCATTAGCTGACACCAATTTTCAAGACGGTATGACTAAATACATTTTTCCAGCATTGCTTGTGTAATACCAGTGAATAATATGTTGGATAAAAGTTTCCCATCAGAGACTGAATAAACCTATTTCAGCCATGGGTAACTCAATCTCCTTCTTTCACAAATGTTGCTGTTTATACATTTCAGTAAAATCACCTGCTTCCTCACTGAAGTAGGCTGCCCATTTTCATTCAGCTGGTTCTTCCTGCAGTATCTCCAGTGTTGTCTCTCCCAGGAGGTTCTTGCAGCTAAAGCCTTGGCTCAGAGTAGTGCTGGCCCTGCAGTGCTGTGGCTGCTGCCCAAGTAACATGCTCGTGCTGATAAAATCACATTTTCTCTTTGTAAAGGGGCAAGTGTTAACTGCATTGCCCTTAAAACTTTTCATCATCGTTTGCTTCCATCGGTTTTCATCTGCTCAGGAAGGAGGCTGGATGTGGCAAATGTCTGGAACGGAAACTGCAATAATCTTCTAGTACAATTTTAGGATACTGGACTAGCTGTTTGATCCGCATGCTCAGGTCTTTTTTATTTTAGTGGGGCTTTTTAATGCAAAATTGTTTTTGTGAATATGTGTACATATATAAACCTACATATAAATTTTTGGTTGAAGCAGAATATGACTGTAATTGGTCTGGCTTGGCAGATCTGTGCTGTGTGGCCACTATTTTCCATTCCTGGAAGTTCTGCTTCCAATAGAGAGTAGCACCAGGAGCTATTCCATCTCTGAACAGCAGCAGTACAGAGTGGGCGGAAGTTAACAGAAAATGGTGAGAAATTGAGCATTACATTTTCCTCTGCCAGCTAGACAACAAAGATATTTTCTTTGTTCAGCACTGCTAGGCTGGGCTATGGTGTAGGAGATTCCTCTTTGTTCATTACCATTGAGCCTTTCGAGATGTCCAACAGTCTGTTGAAATAAGATGTCTAAATGATTAGACTCTTCTTTAAAATGGGTCTTCCCAGTCTCACTTTTGACATGGTACACCAAAAGAAAAAACTAATTTGAAATGTTCCCTTCATAACACTGTCCACTTTGTATGTAAGCAGTAAATAGGTTCGGAAATTATTTGAAAATGGAAAATTTGGCATTTGTTGTTTCTCACAGATGTCATAGGCAGAATAGTGCCAACCTGAGATTTACCAGGACATATTAAAAGGATACAGTTCCTTATGGATTTCAGCTCATACTAGTAGTTTTTTCTTGCTGTTAAGTATGTGCAGATGAAGAAGAAAATGTAGCACAGTCTGAAGTAGATGAAATGAAAAAAAAAAAAAAAAAGTGACTACTATTCATAAGCACTACCAAAGATCATAACAGGTCAAGAGGCTTGTCCACTGAATTTTCTTAATTTGTCTTCCAGTGTCTCTTCCATGTCATTGTATTACGGTCTTTAAACAAAGTGCAAGCCTACACTATTTCTAAGGACAAATTGCAGGAACTGAGCAATGAGTTATGTAAGAGAAGTAAATTAGAAAACATATCA